TCAGCACAAAATTACAACTCGTAAAATGACAATTGAAGTCATCCCATGACCAACTTTCCGCCGAAACGGTTGTGCTCTCATTCCTCTTTCTGTCCTAGCCCACCCATCTATTTCGTTCCCTTTTATCACACTCCCGCCCTATCATAACTTCTGACTTGTTTATATTCCACTTCTCAAGAGGTGTGCTCTTTTTGACCGGTTTAGTGTGGTGTCATCATCACTGCTGCTTACCTTTCCCTCGTTCCATTTAACAAGTTCACATTCCGATGCTTGGAATAAAATAAAGTACCATAGCACTCTTCACAAGTCTACCCGCGCAACATGAGAGGATGGACAAATAGGATTGCTTGGGTTTTATTGGATAGCATACGGCGCTTGCGAGCTTTAGTACATTGGCGAAACTAGTAGAAAAGTCAGCATACGAATCAAGGAACAACTCTGCAGGAAAATGGATACCGAATATGGCAGAATTAGTGATGACTTTGTCTATTGCACAATCAGACTCGGAGAAAACAAGGACATAACAAGATAAGCAAAAAGGAGACTTCTGGATTAGGGATATATTGGTAACCAGTGGAAAGGGGAGCGAAAGAAAGAAGCAGGAGGGGAAATTTGGGAAAGCAGGTGAAGACGTTAATGATTTTGGTCGGTTCGATGAAACAACTACGACTTGGTTGTCTTGCAGTCACATATTCGCAACCGTCACGGAAATTCGGCATTATGGTCAAATTGACTAGAAGTCCATTCGAGATGAAGTAGCTAACCATGGATAGAAGTGTACAATTTGCTCAGGGTGCATGGGCTTAATCAAGGAGACGGCTAGTGAATGAAATGTCTAACATATGCAAACATGGAAATCGAAGCCTAGACATTCTGTTCGGTAAGGCGACACTGCACGTGCTTCTAAAGGCTTGGTAAATTACGCCTTGAATAGAGTAAAATTGGTCAATCAGAAATATAATAAACAGATCTATGAGCCCATTAGGAATATCAGAATAGGAGGCCCAAATCGGATCCGTAAGGGGTGGGCAAGCTAAAAAACAGACGTGATGACGCCATACTTAACTCGTCAAAAATTATACATCTTTTGAGGAGTAGAGGTGGAGTGATAACATAACCGTTTCGGCAGAAGGTTAGTCATGGGATTGAATTCACTTGTCTTTTTGACAAACTGTGACTTGGTGCTGAGAGTAGCAAGACTAAATGAGGATTCTGACTAGGATGCAGACGAAACGTCTGAGAATGTACCATAGTCCCAGGTATGATGCTTGGAATTATGATAACTACTATAGCAGAGGACTTCGGACAAGATGAGTCCAATTTGATCGCCCTCACAACACGACCAAGTTGCGAAAATGAGGTCAGCTTATTTTTATGCATTGAAAAAGATATCAACCATACCAAAAGCCCCATAATCTTGGTCTTTATATTTTAACTAGTTCTAGTTTTATGAACATTTTGAACTCACTCGCTGG